AAGATTATTTTAATAATAAGAGATTCTTATAATTAAATTATTATAATTAAAACTTAAACTTAATTAAGTAAAAAAGATTATATTATTATATTATTATATTTATTTATTTAAGTACCTTAGAGCTATTATAGCTATTCTAATACTTTTATATGTAATTTAAGTGGGAAAACCCTTTATATAGAAAGAAAAACCCTCTCGCTTTTATTTTAAATTATTCTTACCCTACTATAAGTCTATAAAAGCTTAAGAGTAAGGCTATTACTAGCCTAGCTTTAGCTATTTATAGTAGCGGTAATTAAAAGGAGTTACTAGCTATTATAAAGCGCGTTATTAAGTTAATATTAGCTTTAGGTATTACTTAAGAGAAGATAAATAATTTATTATAATAGTTACTTATTATTATAAAGAAAGCTATTATATTTAATAATAGTATTAGCTTATCTTTAATGCGTCTTTCCTATTATTTTCCTATATTATTATTTACGGCCTTATTAAAATTAATACTCACTTAAGAATTATAGTCTAAGTATAAGCGATTTAGTAAAGGTATTAAGTAATAAGTAAAGCGCTATTAGCTTATCTTTAGGCCTAGATTTATTATTTAAGGGGAAGAATACTTTAAAGGAGAATAATATAGCTTAGTATTATTAATTAAATTCTTTTATTACCGCGCTATTAAGCTAGGTCTAGCCTTAAGCTATAATTTACTATTATAATAAATTAGGTTTCTTTCGTTTAATCGTTTTTTATATACTAAACCCTAGTATTACCTTAGCTTAAGTTTAACTTTAGTCTACTCTTAGCGTTATTATTAGCTCGCGTAGCTTATCTTTTTATAAGTAATATAATAAGGTAATAGTAAAGAAGCCTATCTATATTTAATAGCTATTAAGTTAAGGTTTATATTAGGCTAGCGTTTCTTAAGGCCTAATAGAATTCCTTATAATCTCTAAGCTAATTCTATAATTAGCTATTATTATATAATAGGTATTTAATAATAACGTGGTATATATTCTTTACGTTTATTTCGTATTAATATAAGAGAGACTTTACTTTAAAAACGCGTTACTTATAAAGGAATTTATTAAGACCTATATAGCTAATACGTAATTATATTAGGGTTATTATTTCGTGTTTTAGTAGGTTTAAGTGTATTCTTTTACCTTACTTAATAGGTTTAAGTTAAGGTACGTTCTTTACCGCCTTAACGTTTCTTTATAGGTAATAATTTCTAGCCTTATAATATTAATAGTAGAATTTATATTACTAGTTTACCTATAGCGCCTTTTACGTGGTATCGCCTTAGCCTTAAGTTTATAGCTATTATATAATTTCTTTATTAGGTTTTCTTTATAAGCTGCGCTTTTATTTAAGCACTCTTATTATAAATACGTATACCATATAAATTTAGCCTAATATTTCTAAGTCTTTAAGCTACTATTTAAAGCGCCTTTTTATATAATTTAAATAAAGGTCTAGTAGTAAAATAATTACTTTTACTTTAAGCTAGGGGATTAGGGTAGCTTTAAACGCTCTAGTAATAGCTTAAAGGTATTTTAATTATTTACTAGCAGAGCATTGACAAAAAAACTACACTACATGTAGTTTTTTAGTGTAGTTTTTAGTGTAGTGTAGTTTTTGTAGTTTTAGTGTAGTTTAACTACACTACAACTACATTTGTAGTGTAATATGTAATTATAAGGGCTTTAAAAGTAGACTTATAAGCTTATAAAAATAACTAAAAAATACTATAATTTTAGCTTATTATAATGCTATAAAAATATCCTTTATAAGTTAATTAATAAGTAAGATATTAAAGTTTAAAGAATTCTAAAAATAAAGATATTAACTTGATTTATTTTAAGTATTTAATAAGAAATAAATGCTTTTTAAATGTTATTTATATATATATAGTATATATAATTAATATAAAAATTTAATATA